GCTTAATCTGCCTAGCAACATGTTGACCAAAAAAAAAAAAAGACCCTTAAAACACAAAGTGCATCACAAATGTGTGTGCAAAAACGTGAACCGCAATGCAGAAACGGATCAAACGCAAACCGCTTGGTGTGAACGGAGCCTTAGGAGTGGATCATGACATGCCTGGATAACCTAAGCAAAGTGCGTTTTTTTTTTAATGGACGAGGGACTTTTTTAAACGCAAAACGGCGCATTTTGGTTCAATAGACTTCAATGGAGATGATGCAGAAGCGCATGTAGTATGTTTTTGATGCATTTTTTATATATGTTTTTTCCATGTTTAATCTGCCTAGCAACATGTTGACCAAAAAAAAACCCCCTTAAAACGCAAAGTGCATCACAAACGTGTGTGAAAAAATGGGAAACGCACCGCAGAAACGGATCAAACGCAAACTGCTTGGTGTGAACCAAGCCTTATGCAGGCCATAAAAAAAAAAAACGGCCGAAAAAAAAAAAATCGTCCAATTTTCACACCGTTAGTGGGTTATTCGGTCGGCCGTTTCTTGGGGTTTTGGCACATTTTTTTTATCGGTGAAGTTGGAACAAAATTGGCCGATTTTGCCAATTGGCCGATTTTCCCAGCAATGATGGGCAAATTGGGCGATCTTTTTACCGATAAATATCTGCGAATGAGCCGTGACCTGCAAGAAGAACAAAAAGAAGAAAAAAGAAGAAGAATTTGAAGAATTTCAGTCCGCTATTATATTTGACATGAAAAGTCTTGCAGTTGCAACAATGTATCTATTTGTATCTGAATAAAAACATCTGTATCTGAAATGGATACAAATGAATACAAATGGATACATTGTTGCAACTGCAAGACTTTTCATGCCAAATATAATAGCGGAGCTCTCTGCAGGGACAGAAGTAATTAAATGCCGGCCGTAGACAATCGGCCGTAGACGTAGATAATCAGCCGATTTTTTTGACCATTGGTAGTAACTAGAGATGAGCGAATTATTCAAAAATTAGATTCGGCTGATTCGCCGAATTTGCGGGAGAAATTTGATTCGATGCAAATTTATTCGCCGCGAATTTAACTTATTGAAAGGGTTTCTAGGCTTCAGAGAGCCTTTATATTAGTGCAGAACACTGTACCTTTAATTTAAATGCCCTTGGAGTCTGCTGGGGAAGAGAAATAATACTGACACTCAGTATGACATGCAGATGAGTGCCGTCCATCTTAGAATCACCGCACACTTCACTCATTTGGGCAGTCACGGGGCACGATGAAGAAGAAGAAGAAGATGAAGAAGAAGAAGGATGAAAAGAAGAATGAAAAGAAGAAGAAGAAGAATGAAAAGAAAGAAGAAGAAGAAGAAGGAAAAGAAGAATGAAAAGAAGAAGAAGAAGAATGAAAAGAAGAAGAAGAAGAATGAAAAGAAGAAGAAGAAGGAAAGAAGAATGAGAAGAAGAATGAAAAGAAGAATGAAAAGAAGAATGAGAAGAATGAAAAGAAGAATCAAAAGAAGAAGAAGAAGAATGAAAAGAAGGAGAAGAATGAAAAGAAGAAGAATGAAAAGAAGAAGAATGAAAAGAAGAAGAAGAAGAATGAAAAGAAGAATGAGAAGAAGAATGAAAAGAAGAATGAAAAAAAGAATGAGAAGAATGAAAAGAAGAATCAAAAGAAGAAGAATGAAAAGAAGAATGAAAAGAAGAAGAAGAAGAATGAAAAGAAGTAGAAGAAGAATGAAAAGAAGAATGAAAAGAAGAAGAAGAAGAATGAAAAGAAGAAGAAGAAGAATGAAAAGAAGAATGAAAAGAAGAAGAAGAAGAATGAAAAGAAGAATGAAAAGAAGTAGAAGAAGAATGAAAAGAAGAAGAATGAAAAGAAGAAGAAGAAGAATGAAAAGAAGAATGAAAAGAAGAAGAATGAAAAGAAGAGGAAGAAGAATGAAAAGAAGAAGAAGAAGAAGAATGAAAAGAAGAAGAAGAATGAAAAAGAAGAAGAAAGAATGAAAAGAAGAATTAAAAGAAGAATGAGAAGAATGAAAAGAAGAAGAAGAAGAATGAAAAGAAGAAGAAGAATGAAAAGAAGAATGAAAAGAAGAAGAAGAAGAATGAAAAGAAGAAGAAGAAGAATGAAAAGAAGAATGAAAAGAAGAAGAATGAAAAGAAGAAGAAGAAGAATGAAAAGAAGAATGAAAAGAAGTAGAAGAAGAATGAAAAGAAGAAGAAGAAGAATGAAAAGAAGAATGAAAAGAAGAAGAAGAAGAATGAAAAGAAGAGGAAGAAGAATGAAAAGAAGAAGAAGAATGAAAAGAAGAAGAAGAAGAATGAAAAGAAGAATGAGAAGAAGAATGAAAAGAAGAATTAAAAGAAGAATGAGAAGAATGAAAAGAAGAAGAAGAAGAATGAAAAGAAGAAGAAGAATGAAAAGAAGAATGAAAAGAAGAAGAAGAAGAATGAAAAGAAGAAGAAGAAGAATGAAAAGAAGAAGAAGAAGAATGAAAAGAAGGAGAAGAATGAAAAGAAGAAGAAGAAGAATGAAAAGAAGAAGAATGAAAAGAAGAAGAAGAAGAATGAAAAGAAGAATGAGAAGAAGAATGAAAAGAAGAATGAAAAAAAGAATGAGAAGAATGAAAAGAAGAATGAAAAGAAGAAGAATGAAAAGAAGAAGAATGAAAAGAAGAATGAAAAGAAGAAGAAGAAGAATGAAAAGAAGTAGAAGAAGAATGAAAAGAAGAATGAAAAGAAGAAGAAGAAGAAATGAAAAGAAGAAGAAGAAGAATGAAAAGAAGAATGAAAGAAGAAGAAGAAGAATGAAAAGAAGAAGAAGAAGAATGAAAAGAAGAATGAAAAGAAGTAGAAGAAGAATGAAAAGAAGAAGAATGAAAAGAAGAAGAAGAAGAAGAATGAAAAGAAGAATGAAAAGAAGAAGAATGAAAAGAAGAGGAAGAAGAATGAAAAAGAAGAAGAAGAAGAATGAAAAAAGAAGAAGAAGAAAAAAGAAGAAGAAGAAGAATGAAAAGAAGAAGAAGAAGAATGAAAGAATGAAAAGAAGAAGAAGAAGAATGAAAAGAAGAAGAAGAATGAAAAGAAGAATGAAAAGAAGAAGAAGAATGAAAAGAAGAAGAAGAAGAATGAAAAGAAATGAAAAGAAGAAGAATGAAAAGAAGAAGAAGAAGAATGAAAAGAAGAATGAAAAGAAGAAGAAGAATGAAAAGAAGAAGAAGAATGAAAAGAAGAAGAAAAGAAGAAGAAGAATGAAAAGAAGAAGAAGAATGAAAAATGAAAAGAAGAAGAAGAAGAATGAAAAGAAGAAGAAGAAGAATGAAAAGAAGAATGAGAAGAAGAATGAAAAGAAGAATTAAAAGAAGAATGAGAAGAATGAAAAGAAGAAGAAGAAGAATGAAAAATGAAGAAGAAGAATGAAAAGAAGAATGAAAAGAAGAAGAAGAAGAATGAAAAGAAGAAGAAGAAGAATGAAAAGAAGAATGAAAAGAAGAAGAAGAAGAATGAAAAGAAGAATGAAAAGAAGAAGAAGAAGAATGAAAAGAAGAAGAAGAAGAATGAAAAGAAGAAGAAGAATGAAAAGAAGAAGAATTCCAGTACAGCAAAAAGTGTATCTGCAGAGAGCTCCGCTATTTCTGACAGTTCTCTGACAGTTCCTTCACATTTACAGCGGTTGAAACATTGTATCTATTTGTTTCCGAATAAAAACATCTGTATCCTAAATGGAAACAAATAGATACAATGTTTCAACCGCTGTAAAACTGAACTGTCAGAGAACTGTCAGAAATAGCGGAGCTCTCTGCAGTGACACTTTTGCCGGCTGATCGGGAAAAATTTGCTAAAGTTTGCTAAAATTCGGATTCGATGCAAATCGAATTTTTCCTAATATTCGAAACGAATTCCACTTCGCCAAGTTCGATTCGCTCATCTCTAGTAGTAACGTCGGCCTGTTGAACGACCGATTTTTCTTTTTTTAAAATGGACGGTTTTCGACCCGTCTATGACCTGCATTAGGAGTGGATCACCACATGCCTGGATAGTCTAAGCGATCCTAAGCTGCCTCATTACGTTTTTCTTTCACCGTTTTGTAAATTTGAAAAGCTAAACCCGTAATAAAAAGAACGTTTTCAGGCAGCTGGGCCAAAGCCTGGTTTACGTTTTTCGAAGCCCATTGGTGGACGCCGAGGTCCTGACCACGACGACATGATTACCGGAGACGTTTTTGGTCCCGCTGAAAAAAAAAAAAAACCCGAACTCTTCCCATGCGGCTTCAATAGACTTTGATCTGTAGGCAGGAGCTCCGGATTCCCCTTTTTCAGAGATCCACCAGAGTGCTGGAGAAGGCAGGAAGCCTGAAGACGGATGATTTCTCGTCATCTTCTCAGCCGGTGGGAGGGAGGCCACAGGGAGCTGCTGCCAAGATGTCCCTCTATGATTTTCAATGATTGATATTCCTCAAAGTGCTTTCCTGTTCCTGGCTTGAGACGCACATAGATTAGGCAATTACTGATTGTTTCAATGTCAAATTGGCTGAGAAATGCAGCCGTGAGAGCGAAGACGGAATCAGGGAATGGCTTATAAATATTGCAGTAATGACCGGCCAGATGGAGGGTTTTTTTTTTTGCCTGTGACAGTTGGGTTGTATTTTAGGGATGTGCCGGGGTCAATGCGAAGCTCTAATCGTACGCAGTAAGAGGGAATTCCAAAAAAAAAGCTCAGAAAGCCCTGGAAGGAAAGACAAACATGGCAAACGAGAGCTGTACTCGTCTCATTGGGACCATACCACACCCCGAGATAACGGGTCACACTCACTGGACGGTTCTGGACAGGGGCGGACTGACCATTTGGAAACTCAGGCACTGCCCAAGGGTCTGGGGTCAGTAGGGGGCCCCATGAGATGCCCCTGGAACCTTTTTCATAGGCTTTTTTGAGTTTGGGCAATGACACAGGGGCCCCATGATCCCCTATTGCCCGGGGGTCCCATGAGTTGTCAGTCCGCCCCTGCTAGGGAGGTTAATCAGATTTATCATCTGCCACCCTGGATCAGATTTCCACGCACAAATATTGTGATCGTACAAGATCCTCACGTTGGCTGTTTGATTTGGGACATTTACTCACTAAAGTTCACCACATGGTGACATGTACATGCGTGTTCTTGTGTGCTTGGTTTGGCTTCCATGCCCAATAACATGCATGCACCAGGGGTGGACTGACCATCTGGAAACTCAGGCACTGCCCGAGGGCCTGGGGTCAGTAGGGGGCCCCATGAGATGCCCCTGGTACCTTTTTCATAGGCTTTTTTGAGGTTGGGCAAGGACACAGGGGCCCCATGATCCTCTATTGCCCGGGGGCCCCATAAGTTGTCAGTCCGCCCCTGATTCTGGATGTTATTAGCTCAGGTTGGAACAGCCCTCACTCGTACGTCACCACTTCATGCCCAAACAACCTTGGCATGAAGCCAAGTGAAGTCTTTCCTCAGAAGAGGCCGCCATTTTGGGTTTTCAAATCTTGCTACTGTAGCACTACCCCCCTTAGGAGTCGCTGAAGTTTTGTGTCCCCCTATAGTCCTGCACAGCCAGGCAACACACATTTCCTTCACACAGACTTGAATCCAGAACACAGTGACCAGTCCTTGAGCTTGTTTTGAAGTTTTATTATGGGAATTGAACTTGGATGGGGTAAGGGGTGTATGGGATGCCCAAGGGTAATGGCAACAGAGGACACACGCCTTAGCAACTATGTACAAGTCTTTACAGCAAAAAAGTCTCTCTTGGAGAGCTAGCCAGCATCCCTTGTACTACCAACCCAGATGAATCCTCTCCTCATCCAGCTGTACTGGCTCATTCCCTGGGCAGGGGACCCGGTCAAAAAGCTAATCTAGTTGCCCACCAGAGTGCCTCTTTCCTCTTACTGGCCCGGGGGGGGGTGCAGGTCTACTCAATGAACCCTTCACCTACGCAGCTGCTAGGTCATTGGCTGCTACCAGGCCGTCTAGCTGGACTGCTCCTTCCCTGTTTCACAGGTGGTCCTTGCTCTGGGGGCCAGTGAAGTCTTGAGCTTTCCTCCTTTCGAGGACCTCTGCCTGTAGATGAGCCCCTCTCCATCTGGGCCCCCTCCCAGCCTCCCGCTCTCCAGATTCACTTCCTCATCTCCCACCCAAATTCTCCTCCAACTCTCCTGCTGTTTAGCAGGCTCAGTTACTCTTAAGGGCTGTCCTGGCCCCTTGGGGATTGGCCAGGATCCTCTCAGAGTACAGACCAGCCACTCCTCACCTCTGCTCACTGCTTCTAGATCTTTCTCCAAAGTTCTAGAGCAGGATGAAGTTCCAGAGAGCTGGTCTGCAGAGCTTCTCAGCTCTAACTGATATTTGACCCCTCTAACCATAACACCTGTGCTGCTACTCAGCCCCTGACTAATAATTGGGGCCTAGCTCCCCCTAGCTGCCTAGGAGGGTGCTACACTACATAAACTCCGGACGTGAGGGAAAGAGGGGTTATTGGGCCTCATAGAGGGGAAAGTCTGCCCTGATGATGAAACCAACAAGAAACTAAGGCTGCTTTCACACTGCTCTGTTGCAGAAACTCAGTACGAACACAAAGGCATTTTTGCCATGTTTTTGATGTGTTTCCGGTGCTTTTCCTGGGTGCCTGTTACCAGGGCCATAGATAAGGGGGTACCACCAGTCCCACCAGTAGGGGGGCCCAGCTGGTGAATCAGATGTGGGCAGGGAGGGTGATCGGCACGGCAGTGGGGGGCAATTACTGGAACCAATCCCCTGTATGGCTCTCTCTGCATCAGCTGAAAGCCGGCTTATTCTCCTCCCCCTCCCACTGGCTTTCAGCTGCTGCAGAGAAGAGTCATATAGGGGATCAGTTCCAGAATTGCGCCTCCCCGCTGCACCCATCACCCTTCCTGTGTACCACACATTTCCCCCTGCTGCCCAGGAACCCGTGTGTGGCCCCAACCCCGCAGTGCTCCCCTCCTTCCCACCGACTGCGGCAAGCACACAATAGGATCCTTCAGAATGGAAAGTGGGGGAAGGGTCCGGTAAATATGTCATATTTAAAAGCCCCCTCTTTTCCTGAATGAGCACAATGTGTGATCAGCACCAATCACTCCCTGTGTTGGTTCACAACTGAAGCATAGTAAACTGTGCACATTTTTTTTTGGGGGGAGGGACTCTGTCAGGTTGGCTGTACGGGGACCCATGCTTTCTAAAACCAGCTTCGCCTGTTACTTTCCTAGCCACCCAAGGACAGGATGAGTGCTATATGCAGGATCACCGGGTGACAATAAAAAGGAAAAAAGAAAACAGCTTCACCAAGGACTAGTATTCTGCAATAATATTGCAGATTTGGGTTTGGATACAAGTGTGTTTATTTGTTCCTATTAGATTGTAAGCTTCCAGGATCAGGCCCTTCCTCTTAGATTGTAAGCTCCCAGGATCAGGCCCCTCCCTCTTAGATTGTAAGCTCCCAGGATCAGGCCCTTCCTCTTAGATTGTAAGCTCCCAGGATCAGGCCCTCCCCTCTTAGATTGTAAGCTCCCAGGATCAGGCCCTTCCTCTTAGATTGTAAGCTCCCAGGATCAGGCCCTCCCTCTTAGATTGTAAGCTCCCAGGATCAGGCCCTTCCTCTTAGATTGTAAGCTCCCAGGATCAGGCCCTTCCTCTTAGATTGTAAGCTCCCAGGATCAGCCCCCCTCCTATCCCTCTTGTATTGAACTGTATTGTTGCTGTATTGTCTCCCAGTTCTATTGTAAAGCGCTGAGCAAACTGTTGGCGCCAGAAATCCTGTATAATAATAATAATAATAATATAAATCCTGTATAATAATATTGTAATAGCAAACTAAAAATCCTGTATAATAATAATAATAAAATCCTGTATAATAATAATAATAAAAATCCTGTATAATAATAATAATATAAATCCTGTAATAATAATAATAATAATATAAATCCTGTATAATAATAATAATATAAATCCTGTATAATAATAATAATATAAAATCCTGTATAATAATAATATAAATCCTGTATAATATAATAATAATATAAATCCTGTATAATAATGATATTTTTAGGATCCCCAGGCGAAAATAAAGCAAAAAAAAAATCTTAAATAAAAAAAACAATCTAATGCAGCCATCACACCAAGGTGCAATATATCACATTTGTAGATTCGGCTTTGGATACTCTTTGAATATGGCGGCCTCCATAGATACAGTGGAGGAGTGACTTAGCCATCCAAGGACAGGATGTGTGTTGTTTTCAGAATCATCAGCTAAAAAGAAAAGAAAATAAATGTAACCACTTCACCGAAGACTAGTAATCTGCAATATATCACATTTGTAGATTTGGGTTTGGATACACTTTAAATATGGCGGCCTCCATAGACAAAGTGGAGGAGTCGTGTAGCCACCCAGGGACAGGAAGTCTGTTATTTGTAGGATCACCAGGTAAAAATAAAAGAAAAAAAAGAAACAAAAGTAACCACTTTATTAGGTATTAGAAATCTGGGATAGATCACATTTGTAGATTTGGGTTAGGATACACTTTACATATGGCTGCCTCCATAGACACAGTGGAGGAGTGACGTAGCCACCCAAGGACAGGATGTGTGTTGTTTTCAGAATCATCAGCTTAAAATAAAAGAAAATAAATGTAACCACTTCACCGAAGACTAGTAATCTGCAATATATTATATTTGTAGATTTGGGTTTCGATACACTTTAAATATGGCTGCCTCCATAGATACAGTGGAGGAGTAACGTAGCCACCCAAGGACAGGAAGTGTATTATTTAGGATCATCGGGTAAAAATAAAAAGAAAAAAAAGCAACAAAAGTAACCATTTCACCAAGGACTAGTAATCTGCAATATATCACATTTGTAGATGTGGGTTTGGACACATATTAAATATGGCTGCCTCCATAAATTCAGTGGAGGCATAACGTAGCCACCCAAGGACAGGAAGTCTGTTATTTGCAGGATCATCAGGTAAAAATAAAAGAAAAAAAAGAAACAAAAGTAACCATTTCACCAAGGACTAGTAATCTGCGATATATTATATTTGGATACACATTAAGTCTGGCTACCTAATCGGCGTCCATCCTTTTGTTCCTTCTACCGTTCCACATCTGATATTTATGTAACGTTTCACAACACCACTTAGTAAATCTCAGCTGTTATTTTTTTTATCTCCGGGTTGGTAGCGGAAATTTTCTTCCACGGCTCATCTTGTTTTATTCTCTTTCCTCCAGACCTGCCTGTTCCTATATATATATATTAATCTGCATTATATCACATTTGTAGACTTGGGTTTTGATTGTAGATTCGCCCACCATAGATACAATGGAGGAGTGACGTAGCCACCCAAGGACAGGAAGTGTGTTATTTGCAGGATCATCAGGTGAAGTTAAAAAAAAAAAAAAAAGAAACAAATGTAACCCCTTCACCAGGGACTAGTAATCTGCGATATATCCCATTTGTAGGTTTGGGTTTGGATACACTCTACGTATGGCTGCCTCCATAGATACAGTGGAGGAGTGACGTAGCCACCCAAGGACAGGAAGCGTGTTATTTGCAGGATCATCGGGTAAAAATAAAAAAATAAAGAAACAAAAGTAACAATTTCACCAGGGACTAGTAATCTGCGATATATCACATTTGTAGATTCAGCTTTGGATACATTTTAAATATGGCGGCCTCCATAGATACAGTGGAGATATAATGTAGCCACCCAGGGACAGGAAGTCTGTTATTTCCAGGATCACCAGGTAAAAATAAAAGAAAAAGAAGAAACAAATGTAACCATTTCACCAAGGACTAGTAACCTGCAATATATATATTTGGATACTCTTTAAATATGGCGGCCTCCTTGCATACAGTGGAAGCGTAACGTAGCCACCCAGAGACAGGAAGTGTATTATTTGCAGGATCACCAGACGCAGATAAAGAAAAGAAAACAAATGCAGCCACCACACCAAGGCCTAGTAATCTGGGATATATCACATTTGTAGATTTGGGTTTGGATACACTTTACGTATGGCTGCCTCCGTAGATACAGTGGAGGAGTGACGTAGCCACCCAGAGACAGGAAGTGTATTATTTGCAGGATCACCAGACACAGATAAAGAAAAGAAAACAAATGCAGCCACCACACCAAGGCTAGTAATCTGGGATATATCACATTTGTAGATTTGGGTTTGGATACACTTTACGTATGGCTGCCTCCGTAGATACAGTGGAGGAGTGACGTAGCCACCCTGGGACAGGAAGTGTATTATTTGCAGGATCACCAGACGCAGATAAAGAAAAGAAAACAAATGCAGCCACCACACCAAGGCCTAGTAATCTG